CTGGCATCCTTGTACATGCAGTGCTTCCATCTTCTGTTTCAGTCCGTTATTACACTCTTAAATCCTACTACTTATTCCTGCTTCTTTTGTGATCTTACAAAGCTTCAAACGACGCGTCGACTATTAGATCAGTCGTCGACAATTTTGATAGTCGACGTAATTGTGACTAGTCGACTAAAGCAGCCCTATTAGACAGGTATGATTTAAACCAGTCTAGTGGAGTATGGGAGAGATCGATGGAGGCTATGGAGTGAGAAATAGTGTCGAAAGCAGCACTCAGATTGAGGAGAATAAGAATGGAAAATAAACCGGAGTCAGCTGCCATAAGATGATCATTGGTTATTTTTATAAGTGCTGTTTCAGTGCGATGGGAGGGGCGAAACCCAGACTAGAACTGTTCAAACAGATTATGTATGAAGATTATGCAATTAAATGCCGTATTGATGCTGTCATTTTTAACATCTACATGGATGTTAAAATCACCCACAATAATTATTTTATCTGAGCTGAGCAGATAAAAAAATTCAAAGAAATCAGACAGAAACTCTGTGTAAGGCCCAGGTGGATGATAGATGATAACAAATAAGACTGTTTTTTGAGTTTTACAGCTAGAGTGGACAAGGCTAAGCATCAGACTTTCAAATGAAACAAAAGTCTGGCTTGGTCTTAAGGTTGTGTTTTAAAGTGTTCCTTTTATTAAACTGTCATTTATGAGATGCTTTTCAAAACAGTAAAGTATTAACTTATCCTTTTTAGGAACTTATACAAAAGTGATTCACTCTTTATTATTACTACATAATCATTTGGGGAAAACTGGATTTTATAATGATTACTGCTTAAACAGTGATGAAGCAATGATTTTTTCCCAACATACTCAGGAGCTGTGACCAGTGCATCACGTTATACTCAAACCAGTGTGGTTCATTAGCAGACTCATGTCCCCAGTGTGGAGAAAGGCTGAGAACAAAACCTGGACTTCATACCGACAGTCAGACCATCTTCGTGCAAAGTAAGAGTGTAATATGTCTGTCAGCTGGTGGACCCATTTCTGAAAATGGACATATTACAGTGCTTTGAAAAAGTATTTACCCCCTTTCTGATTTACATTTTCACATATTTGTCATACTTGCATGTTTAAGATCATTTAACACATTAATTGAGACTAAGATAAGTAATCTGAATAAATACAAAATGCAGTTTGTAAATAACTGTATAATAATAATCATTTTATTTAAAATTGTATTTATGTTTATATATAAATATATATTTATATGAAAAATTATTTAAAAGGGGGAAAAGGGTATCCAGTAGTAACCCTTTACTGGCTGAGTATTATGGCCTCAGATTTGGAGGTGCTGATTCTCATTCCCACCCTTTCACACTCAGCATTGAACCATTCCAGTGTAAGCTAGAGGCCATCAGCAGATGAAGCCAGCAGGGCCATATCATCTGCAAGAAGTAGAGATGAGATTCTGAGACCACCCAAGTGTACGCCTTCTCCCACTTGGACAAGCCTAGAAATTTGTCCATATAAATTATGGCTGAGTCCAACCCCCACTGAAAATGAATCCAACTTATTGCCAGCTATTCCGACCAAGCTCTTGCAATGGTTGTATAAGGATCGAGCTTGTAGCAATGGGCCAGACACCCACCTTCCCACAGGACACTCAGAGACATGGTCTAATGCCTTCCCCAAGTCTAAAAACATATATAGATTGGTTAAGGCAAACTCCTATGCACCCTCAAGTATGGTTGAGATGGTTAAGAGTGTGTCCAGTGTTCCACAACAGGACGGAAACTGCATTGTGCCTCCTGTCTCCGAGGTTCGACTAGCAAAGGACTCTCCTTTCCAGAATTCCGGCATAGGCTTTCCCAGGGAGGGTTAGGAGTGTGGTCCCCCTATAGTTGTAACTGTATCATCAGATTTGCGGCCATATGTTCTGGACACTCGGGTGAAAGAGGGGCTTTGCTGTCAACTGATCACCACCTTGTGGTGCGTTGGATCAGGTAGTGGGGAAGGATGCTGGACAGGTCTGGTCCCACTCAATGTATAGGAAAGGTGTGCTGAGAACGCCTGGCCCGTCAATGAGATCTTCAACTCCCACCTCCAGCAGCTTGAACAGCATTCCCAGGAGATGGTTAGTGGATCCCTTCAAATGGTGTCTACCAAATGGTGTTGGAGGAGTTTGGACAGGCCATGGAAAAAGACTTTTGTACTGCCTGGATAAGATTCTGGCAAACTGTCAGGCAACTCAGGAGGGGCAAGCAGTGCTCTACCTGCACTATGTATAGTCCGGGTAAAGCGCTGCTGACTTCGACTGAGAACATTGTTGGGTGATGGAAAAAATACTTTGAGGACCACCTTAATCCCTCTAATGTCATCAAAGCTCAATTTTGTTTTTATTCATTTTATCATTGTCTAATACTAAATTTTGTAGAAATTTATAGAAAATTTAAAAAAAAATCAGGAATAGGGCAAATACTTGAGCACTGTGGTGGTGCTTTTCAGATGTTGAACATGTCTCTTTTGGCTTTTTTTGTTTGTTTTTACTCTTTCAGATGCTGCTCTGCATGAGATTTTAACTGAACATAAGATTAGTCTGAGG